AATAAGAACAGAACTAAAGATATAGCCCAGTGGTAGAATGCCTGTCTAACATGTGCAAGGCCCTGGTTTCAAACCTAACAATAATAATAATAACAGAAGAAGAAGAAATACCTTCTAAATAAGTCTTTTGCTATTAACACACAGAATGGACTAGTGTATACGAATGTTTACGCTTGCTAAGGACTTCCTGCATCACTTCCTTTCACCCTTCTTTCATACAACACATGTCTACTAGGTGATTATTCTGCATTATCACTGCAGTAGGCTTTGATTAGAAGTAAACAAGCTAAACTCATTTCGTACCTTCACAGAGCATATAGCCTACTGGGAAAGACACCATGGAGTCTCATCCTGCCCCAGCAAGGAGACTATTTTTTATTGTGATTAGCAATCATTACAAATAATTATGCTTTCACTTTTTTTTCTTAATTCCTCTCATTATCAACAGCAGGAAAAACAATGCTGTGTAGTGTAAGCCAGTGAAGGATTGGAGGGTTGGAAGAGGTAAACTGGATATTCCTCATCTTCAAAAGCAACGCCCATGGTTACTGTTTAATATGTGGCACCACTTGATGTTAAAACTTCAGAAGTATGTCATGTGTAATAGCACATGCCTGGAGTTACAGAGGCTGAAGCAAAAAGGTCTCCATGAGTTGAAGGCCAGCTTGGACTACATAGTGAGTTCAAGGTCAGACTGAACTATATAACCAGACCCAGTCTCAAAAAAAAAAAAAAAACCACTTCAGAAGTACAACATGAAAATATTCTAAGAAAGTCATCAGTCTGAGACAATTATAAAGACTTGCAATGTGGCCTCATAAGACTGCCATAAAATTAAATGTATTTTTATTAGCCCCTTCACGGTGGCTACCACAGTTATTTTGAAAATAATAGGCTTCAATAAATGTTTGTTAAATGAATTCAAATGGGACTCTAAAGGCATGTCAATGGAATACAGATTTTAATAGATTTCTGATCTTTAGTTTCAGACTCTGGCTGAAGGAATGTATAAATCTAGGTCCTGTAACTGGCAATAACAAAAACCCCAAAAGCTAGCAAAGTCTGTATCTTATATTTGCTATCACTGCTACAGGTCCCAGTGACCCTATCAGAGGAAGAGAAGGCTGGAGAACTAAACCCTTGAGATGAAATGTCTCCACCTAGCAGCAACTCAGAAAACAATCCTACTGACACTTCTGAATATCTGAAAGTAGAAAGCACTAAAACTTGATAATGTTGAATAGTGGTAATTCCTACAGGACCTAAACAAAGTGGTATTTTTTTCCCTAGGGATAACAAATCTATGCATTTATGGAGGAAATGCTTCTTTTTCCCCATCTATTTTGAGAATAACAGACAGTGATGCATACATACTCCTTACTTTCTACTGTAAATTTTTACTTTGGTGTATTTTTTTTTTACTGGTACCAGGGATCAAACTCATGACCGCCTGCTTGCAACGCAGGTGCTTATGCTGCTGAGCTAAATCCCCAGCCCACTTTGGTGTAATAGTAGCCAGCTATACCTCTCAGAACCTTTCCTTCAGGAATACAAAAAGTAATCATTGTGTTTTCTCACTTGGTATGATGAAAAGTAAGGTGTGTGCACATGTACAAAAGTGTCAAACAGGATTTGTACCCATGTTATGCTCCATATTTTGAATATGTTTACCTGAGCATGACAGAGGGTATAACACACCCACATTGTTCTAGGATTTGTTTTAAAGGAAGTTTTCTTTTATTTTTTTTGGTGGAAATAGCCCAATTCAGTACAATGGCACATGAAAAACCAGATTTGCAAAAAGAAGGATTTGGAGGAGATCAAAAGTGAATCATCAGATTACTTGTGCACAGATGATAATGAAGGTGACCCATTATGGTAAAGTGCATGCTTTCATAACAGAAGAGTGTTGTGCATGTACAATGACAATAATAAAGACAACTTTGACAATGGCCATGTGAGCCAAAGTTCCTGTGACAGTGAAATTGAGCAAGAATAGACTAATACAGACACAGAAAATCCAGAGCATCTTGATCCTGATGACAAAGGAAACAGCAATATGAATACATATTTGACTAGCTGAAATGTTTAAAAATGGTCATGCAACCAACTGGAATGATCCAATGTTAGAACTAGGTCCAAAAATATAGTGAAGGTCTTGGCAGAGATGAAATGTATTGGACAGGATGCCAACACCGCCATTCAATGTTAGAAATTGTAACAGATGAAATACTACAAGATACTGTGAAATACACGAAGGCTGAGATGCAAGTAAAATGTACTGTGGGTACCAATAACCATGTTATTATGACACCTCACTAGCTGAACTGAAAGCATTCATAGGTCTGCTTAGCAGGTACTTAGCAGGGATTTCTCATATTGATTTCAGGAATGTAAAAGACTTATAAAAGGGGGATGGGTCAAAATATGACATAAAAATTTATGCCCTTGTAGATGCAAAGACTTATAATGCTTTCAATGTAGACAGTTATCTTTGAACTCAGTCATCAAGTCCTTATTCATATAGCAATAAACCAAATGATATTGTGAACAGATTTATTGCTCCCATTTCCCAAACTATTTGAAATATGACATTCGACAACTGATTTCCCAGTTTCCACTTGCTGTTACATTTGCTAACAGAGCACAAGTTGAGCAACACAGGAACTATGTGTAGGAACAAATTCCAAATGAAATGTTGCAATTTCAAAAACAGAGAATTGTATAGTGCAATTTGGGGGTTTCAGAAAGATTTACATTGGCCTAATATGTGGCAAAAATGAACGGGTACTGCTAATGTCAACATTTCACCATGATGGAAATATTGATAGGGAAACCTCGACAAAACAGAAGCCCAAAATGGAAACTCTCAACAACAAAACCAAAGGCAGAGTAGAGCAGATGTCGCTAATGAGTTATGCGGCAACTTGAAACTTGATGTCACTTGAAACACAAAATATTGGCCAATGGCTGTGTTTCACTCAATCCTAAACAGGTGTATCATAAATAGTTTGATAATTTACAAAGAAAATAGTAAGTGAAAAATACCATGGGGGCTGGGAATTTAGCTCAGCGGCATAAGCACCTGCCTTGCAAGCAGGCGGTCGTGAGTTCGATCCCCGGTACTGGAAAAAAGAAAAAAAAAAAAGGAAAAAAAAATACCATGGAAAATTTTTCTTAGAGAACTGCGACTGGAACTCATAAAAGACCATTTCCAGGAGAGGAAAACCTGCACACACAAAAAAATTGTGGACCACTGGTCAACTGACGGTTAACAGGCACTTGCAGCAACCCAAAATCCTACAACAAAACAGGAAAACACAAAAGATGTCAGCTGTGCCCTACAAGAAAAGACAGGAAAGCAAAATATGTGTGCTATCAGTGATACCTTGTATGGAACACAGCAATTTTCAGATATGAGACTACCTCAGGTGAGATAGCTGAAGCAAGGACTATTTGTGTTGTAGAGTTCCATTGGTATCTTCATTGTAGTTCACATTAAAAAATGCAACACTTTATTTTTGTGATTTTTTTCCTGTTAAGCACTCATTGTTTAATATAAAACTCCTAAAATTAAAATTAATAATTCATCAATAGAAATATTCTAAAGGATAAATGTGGGTGTAATGCTCCCATGTTTATGCCATGTAATGACAAAGTGTGTTAGGTTTAATCTTAATTTCCCTCCATATGGTGCAGCCTTCAGATCTGTTCAGGTATGTGCATCTGAGTTTAAATCTATCACATGGATAGAACACTTGATCTTCATTTTCAGATGTCATAAATACAGCATGCTCTAGCAAATGAAAAGTGCTATAGGAATAATGTATAAAGTATTGTTATTAATATTCTAATGAACAAATCAGATTTTATTCATTTGCTTATTTAATCTTTCAAAAAATAAAAACTAAAGACTAAGAATTAAAACAATGTTTCATAGCCAAGCAAAAACCTTGAGTCAAATACAGAGTCTAGGTAAGCTCCCACAGATAAGGTTCAAGAATGGAGAGATGGGATCTGTCTTTAGTAAACAGGAGACTGTCTCTGAACCCTTTTGGGAAAGTAAATTTCCTAAGTGGGCTGACTGGCTGGCTAAATCTTGGCTTTTTGGGTTTTGTTGGGCACTGCACTGATTGGCAGGCCACCGCTATGTAGGTGCATTGGAATTATGAAGTCTGTGTGGCCAGCACATGGAGAGAGAAGGGAAAGTGCAAGGAACAAAACTATACCCTTCAAGGACGTGTGACCAAGGACCCACTTCCTTCATTCTCCTAGCATTTCCCTCCATTAGACTGTGAACCCATCAATGAATTAATGAGGTCAGAGCTCTCAAGACACAATCACATCCCAAAGGCCCCCATCTCTGAACACTGCTGCGTGAACTCTGAGAAGCACATGGCAGACACAAACTAACTCCGTGGAGGATCTCTGTAGAGTATGTGAGATCACTGATTTAAGACTGTAGCATGCAGCTGTCTTGTGCATGGGTGAGGAATATGCTGACTGCCCAGAGAGGTCTGCAGTACCCCAGCAGGCTAGGTGACCATCCGTTCATTCCATAAACTGAGTGCATTAACGCTTTACCTGTCACATCCTCCTTAGACAGGGCAAGGCCATCTGCCATGTGCTCCTGTAACACTGTGTACAGTACAGCCCTAGATAAATGTGCTCAGCACATTCTAGCACTGTTCAACCGCTGTATTCCCTACTGAGCTGCATCTTGGTCACACCACATTCCCACTACCTAAAAAGTTCTAGACGCAAGGTATATATGCAATAGATATTCTATGGGGAAAATTGAGACTGAACGCAAGACTCTGTGCCAAGTAGGGAGATGGAGCACATATAAAGGTAAAACCGAAACTCATGTCTGTAGAAAAACCACTGAGACAGGAACAGAACAAAATTCTGTGAAGATAGAAAGTTATACAAACCGGAAAGATCAATATCAGAAGAGAAACATAACATAAATGTAAAATTAAGTAGCTTGGGCTAAGTACCTTGCTTGGAAGAGGTGCATGTAATCATTGAGAGGATTGGAAGCTTAAGATCTGCTATCTTCATGAGCATCTTGTGCAATAAGTAAAACAATGTGCCAACTGTGGTATAATCTCTGAAGACTACTCAAAGCGCTCTGTAAGAGAAAATCAAAAGTTTCATAGGAGAGAGAAGTTCTGAGCTTGAGTTTTGTCTTTGTTTTTTTCTGTTGTTTTGGTTTGTTCCCACCACCACCCTACTGCCCAGTGCTGGGGATTGAACCCAGAGACTTGTGAACAGTAAGCAGGAAGTTGGTACCTGAGCCACATCTCCAGCCCTTCTCTCTTGCCTTTTTTTTCTTCTTTGTGATTATTTGGCACTAAACTCAGGGTCTCAATTCAAAAGTGGGCGTCTTCTTCGAAAAAAAGTAGTAAGAACTGTGGGAGTAACAAAACCCAAAATGTGTAATTGTCATTGTACAAAAGAAAGGAAAAGAAAGTTCTCTAAAGGATATAACTGCACATATATTTATGTGTATAAGATAGATAACCATATTGCTGAGTTTTGTTGGATTATTGAACAAAATTGTTTGCAGTCTCACTGTTTGAAAGTCCACTTTATATGCTTTAATTTTATAACCTGAACAACTATCTCTAAGATAACAATATGTAATCTATTAAGTAGTGATTTCCTACTGTTTATTTTTTCTGAAATTCTGTATAACTTGGACCCTTTTTCTGTTTTTTTTTCTCCTTAAATAAAATTTTTTTAAAAAGTAGACTTCTGAAATAAAGAGCCGCTTCTCAGATAAAGAAGTAGAAAGGGTAAACAAGCATGAAAAAAATGCTCAACATCATTGGCCATTCAAGAAATGCTAATTAAAACAAAGCTGAGATTCCATATCACCCCAGAAAGGCTATTATCAAGAAATCAAGTAATAACAAATGCTGGTGGGGCTGTGGGGAAAAGGGAACCCTTCTTCACTGTCAGTGGGAGTACAGACTGCTGCAATCACTGTGGAAATCAGTGTGGAGATGCCTCAAAAAAACTAGGACTAGAGTTCTCATTTGACCCAGCTATTCCCCTTTTTTGATATTTTCCCAAAAAGAATTAAAAGCATCATACCATGGCAATACATGGACACTCACATTTATAGCAGCACAGTTTATAATAGCTAAATCTTGGAAACAGCCCAAATGTCCACCAACTGATAAATGGATAAAGAAGATGAGTGTTTTTGTGCAATGGAGTACTACTCTGTTATAAATAAGGAAAAGCTTGAGACATTTCTAGCTAAATGGATGCACCTTGAGACCATACACTTTAAGTGAAAGGAAGCAGACACACACGTTCAAATATTGCATGGTGTCTCTGATGTGAGAAACCAAAAGTGTAAAAAAGGTCCAAAATGTGTAACAGATATTTGAAATAGGAAAAAAATGTTCAAAAAGGAAGGGGAACTATTGAGGGGGTAGGGGGGAAGGAAGGGAGGGCAAAGGAAAAAAGTGAGAAAAAAAGGAAAATATGGAAACAAAACTTTTCTAAACAAGGAGGGGAAGAGCGGTTGAAAGAAGGATAGGAAAATGGGGGGAAAATAATCAATTTATATCATGCACAGGTACAAATTCCCTATGATGAATGTGGTCACTGTGTGTAACTAAAGTATACCAATAAACTTAATTAATAAAAATAATAAAATCAGAGTCTTCACATTGAGCTACATCTCATCCTTTTTATTTTGAGGTAAGATCTTGCTAAAGTCATTAAAGTGCCCAAGTTGGGCTTGAACTTGGGATCTTGCTGTCTCAGCCTCATTGGCATGTACCTCCACTCCCAGCTCCAACCCTTTAAAATTTACTTTTGAGACAAGCATTGCTAAGTTGCCCAAGCTGGGCACAAATTTGTCATCCATTTGCCTCAGCCTCCCAAGTGGCCGAGATCACAGGCTGAAGTGGCCACATTAACCAACCATGAATGTGACCCTACAGACAGAAACACGGGAAAGTGTTTGCAGATGGAAAACACACATGCGAGCACACAGGTGAGTCTGTCTGTGGAATACAAGGGAGAAATACCATGTGGTTAGTGTGGGGATTGGTTGAGGCAAACTCAGGAGAGATCCTTCAAAGTGTGGGTCCTGCCTAGCATTGCCTCAAACTGGTTAGCACCTCAGACGCCTAGGCCCTGACCCACAAATACCCAGTGAGAAGGTCTAGAAATAGAACACAGAAATCTGCTCTGCCACCACCTCCTCAGCACTAGGGCTAGAGGCCAACACCTCACACAGGGAGGTAAATATTCTACCACTGCACCCCTAGTTGCAGAAATCCGTATTTTAACCAGGTCTCTCCACAATTCTGATGCAATGAAAATTCAAAAACCAATGCCTTGAGAGATCACTTGTGGATCAACTGAAGCTCTGCTTTATTTACAAATTTAATTTTAGAATATTATACAAGATAGAAATAAAGAAAAAAAGATTGCCAAGTGGGTGGTACATGCCTGTAATCCTAAACTTCAACTTGTTAAAAAAAAGATTATGACATGACACAGAGATAAACGCATGAGAAAATATTCAATTTCATGCAAATAGATATTAAAATGGAAACTACAGTTTATTACCTAATTGCCAAAGTCACATTTATTTTTGGAGACAGGGTCTCTGCATGTAGCCCATGTTGGCCTCCAACTCATGCAAGTCTTCCTTCCTCACCCTTCCAAGTACTGGGATTACAGATATGTGCTACCATGTACAACTGGATAAAGTATTTTTTACTTTTTTTTTTTTTTTTTTTGAGACAGGATCTTGCTATGTAGTTTAGGCTGGTCTTAAACTCACTATGTAGACCAGCTGGCCTCAAACTTGTGACACTCCTCCTGCTTCAGCCTCCCCAGTGCTGGGATTACAGGTGTGTGCCACCATGCTTGGGCTTAACATTTCAATAGCATAAGGAATTCTCATGCTGTATTAACTGGGGGAAAAGCTGGTACAAAATAACATGAACAATAATGTTCAAATTCTGAGAAAAAACATAGGTATACAGGTATAAAAATAATAGACACAGCAAAATGTTGCTATCGATTGGCTCAGATTTGTGGGTTGATGTTAAAATTTTCTTTTCCTCTTTATACTTTTCTACTATTTCCATTTTATAATAAACATGCTTTAAAAAAAAATCAGCTTCTAAATCTAGGCTGGAACTCATGATATCCTGCTTCAGCCTTCCAGAGTGACTCTTTTTTTAATAAAGGAACAAAATTAAGTTATGCTACAAGGGTAGTAAAAACCTGAAAGAATGATTGCTCCTAAGCAAAAACATGGAACAATGATGATTACTCCTAAGAAAAACTTATATTGGATTTTAAAAACTCTCCAAGTTGGTATTCTTGACATTTCCAGGTTCTACCCCAGTTGCCACCTCCCTTGACGCAGAAGAAGAAAAGGAGATTGGGATTCATACTCCGGCTAACTAAAGAGCTTTAAATTGCCTGATTTGTGATTATGTTACACAACATCTAAACATTGTAATGCTCTTATAAGTGGCAAATCCTGTGAGATTTTTAGAAAGTAACTCATTGGGTGAGGGGGAGGAGATTTTGTGTTTACTTTGACTACAAAATGCTTTGGAATAAAACCTGTAGAATGTAAACACTTCGACACAAGGTTATGCGTGAGGAAAAGAAAAAAGTGACTAAAAATGGTGTCATGATACCCCCTTGTGGCTGCACCGTATTCCTGTGAGGTCTACAGCAACAGAATCAGCAGAGAGTAAATTCAACTAAAGTATCAATTATGTATTAATTCCCTATTCTGTGTCAGATACTAGCTATAGTAGGATATTTAAATGTCTGTAAACACCTTAGTATTAGCACGGGTAAGCATCTGTTTATTTAGGGGCTGGGGATATAGCTCAGCAACACAGCACCTGCCTGGCAAGCATGAGGTCTTAAGTCCCGATTCCTGATGCCAAAAATAAATAAAGGGGGGGGGGGGGGAATACAGCTCAGTGGCAGCCACCTACCTGGCAAGTAAGTGCAAAGTCCTGAATTTGATTCCTGATTCCAAAAGAAATTTTATTTCAGTTGATTAAACACAAGAGGTCTTGAAATTGAGCCTCACAAACAATTTGTGTCTCTTTCACAACTAGTGTCTCTTTCAAGTACTGGATAGCTTTCTTTCCTGAAAGGGAGGTAAGAGATAGGAGTGAGGTTATTACTTTCCAGCAGTTGGATATTTGATTAATATGTGATTGTCCGAAAAAGCACAGTAGATGTGAATATAAAACTGCCTTTCTGACAGTTCTGACTTTGCAAGTGACCTTGAGCAACTGATATTCTACAAGGTCTCTTTTATTCATTTAATAATTATTTGAAGCTGGAGGATTAGCTTCGAAAAACTGACAGCCGTCTTCAGCCTGTCTGAAATTCACTTTTCTAACCTGTAAACCCAACTGGACAATTTCAGCCTGTTGTCCAAAGAATTGGCTGGGCATTTGCTCGTGGTAGGTGCATGCACACCACGAAGGCCTGGATTCGATTCTCAGCACCGCACCAAAAGGAAAGGAAAAAAAAAAAAAACTCCACGGTGAATGTAATCACTACAAGCATGCACTCTGGAAAAATCTAAATTTAAAAAAGAATTAACATATGATCACACTCAACAGCTCAGTTTTGGGGGTGCTGGAGATCAATCCCAGTGTCTTTTAGCACGCGGAGCACACACTCTGCCACTCAGCTACGCCTCGGCCCCTGAGATAATTTTTAAACGTGTGTTCGCAATCCTATTTGTGTTCACTGAATTTTAACCCTTCCTACAACTGCTCACGGAACCGCACGCCGGCCGGAAAGCACTGAAAGCGCCAGATTTCCGGAGCCCGGGCAGCGGGCCGGACCCTCTCGGCACTCTAGGTCTCAGCTTTCAGCCTTGCCCGGGGCGCGTCTCCAGCGGGCCTCTGCAAAGCGGCGACGCGGGGCCGGCTGCCTCGCGGGTCACGCTGCGGCGCCTTCGGGGCAGCTGGTGCTCCGCGCCCGCTGTGCACTGCCGGTCGCGCTCCACCTCTCCGGGCGGGGAGGTCGGGCAGGCTGAGGAGGACAGCTCCACTTCCATGGGCGCCCTGGCTCGCGCTGTCGGGTCCCGTGACGCCCCCGCAGCGCCCAGGCCCAGGGGGGCAGCACCTGGCTCAGAAGAGGCCTGCGGCGCCGCGGAGGAGCCGGCAGAGGGCGCGGGGCCCGGGACTGGGTCTGGCGGCCCCGCCCAGGCCGGCCCTCCAAGAGGCTCCCGGCCCGCCCCCGGCCCGCCCCCGCCTCACCTCAGCTCGTCACCTCCCGCCCTCGCTGCGGCCCCGGCGCGCGGCGCAGGCGCAGGCGCGGACGCGGCGGTGAGTGCCGCGCGGGCTGCGGCTGGGCCTGGACCTGGGCCTGAGCCTGGCGGGCAGGGTGCGGGGCGCCTGGGAGCGCGAGGGCCCGAGCAGCGTCCGCCCGCAGGGCTGGGCCGGCTGAGCTCGGGGCGGGTGAGTGCGAGGGAGCCGCGGGCGGCCCGGGCGCGGAGCGCTGGCGGGCGGCGCATCTACCACGCGACTGGGCCGGACGCGCCGCAGGGCGGCTTTAAGCGGAAACCCGGCCTCCGCTTCCCGGTGGGGCGGCCTTTCCGCCTCCATCCCGCGGCCCTGTTGTCCTCTGGCGCCCTTGGGGTCGGGCCGAGAGTCCAGGACGCTCGGCTCCCCCGCGGTCGCTGGCCCAGCCCCCGGGCGCGTGTGTGGCGGGTCGCGCCCTCCCGGCCGCTGTGACCCCTAGCGGGCATCCCCGCGGGCGTGGGTCCCCGCGCGCAGAGGCGGGGAGGCGGCCTTTGGGGCTGGGGAAAGCATTTTGGGTTTGGGAGAGTAGAGACTGGAGCGAATTGAAACAGTGTATTTTTGCAAAGAGATACAAATAAGCACCAGACCAAAAAAAAGCTGCTGAAATGGGTATTGGCGTGGATTTCAGTAAAGACTGTAAATTGGACAAATAATATCTTGGGTTCTTGATCTCCTAAAACATTTTGTTTCAATTCCTTTACGAAATAAAAATGTTTATTTTTATGAAGATGAAAAGTTTTCCGCTTTTCAGCTGTTGATGGTAAAGCAATAACCGGCTAGGAGGAAAGACTGCATTGCATGAAAGGCCTTTAAAAGGGTTGCTTGTCTTTAATAAGTGATGGCTGCCTGTTGTGTGCCTTGTGTGCAGTAGGTTTCTTCTTGTTTAATAAAATGACAAGTGTCAAGATGCTAACCTGTTTTCTAAGATGCTTTTTCTTAAGGTAAAAAATTCTTCATATTGCAACAATACTTTCTGTTGCTTTTTTTCCTGTAACTTAACACTTTCCTATTTTTATTTCAAAGAGAGTAAGACTAAAAACAGAACAAAGCAGATCAGAAGAAAACAATGTAAGTAACACAAATTTCAAAGCAAGACAACAGGAGATCATCATTGGCTATCGTATCGTCTCTTGTTTTCTACTAAATATTTGTCCATATCTTCACACACGATGAATTCATACACAAGATAGTATTAAATGATGACGGCATTATAGACCTTCAAAACCAGACAATAGGGAAATCAACAATGGCTGCCATAATATCCCTCATTCTCCTCAAAATAGTTGTCCATACCTTTAGCATTACAAAACAGATTAAAATCAGTCTGAACAAAGAATTACAATTGCTGGATTACACAGCATGACGCTACAGAATCAGCACTGGATACCATAGTGTCTCTTTTTCTTCAGAGTAGCTGTTCATTTCATCATGCGCTATGTAATCGATTTTCTTAAACTGTTTAGGAGAAGTTCTAGGCATGTATGAGCATCTATGTGTATACCTATACTTTCTTCTTCTTCTTTTTTTTTTTTTTTTTTTGGTCTTTTTTTGTGTTTTTCGTTTTTACCGGTATCGGGGATCGAACTCACGACTGCCTGCTTGCAAGGCAGGCGCTTATGCCGCTGAGCTAAATCCCCAGCCCCTATACTTTATGTATTAGAGGGAAAAACAAAACAAATTCCTAGAAAAACACGAAACAAAAAATGACAAATAACAATAGCAAAGAGCCCAAAACACTGAGAATATAGGCCTTCCAAACAAGGTGGTAGGAGCATAACTAGGGTTGTTACTTCACATAAGGATCTTCAAGAGTTCCTCAGATCACCATACAATAATATGCACAATTGTTCCAATCCTATGGATGTTAACTTACAGAATTTGTAGCTTGATCATCTTAGCTGTCCTAAGTGTGTTTATATAATTTGAGATATTTTTTTCTTTTCCCTTTTTCTTTTTCCTCATTTTCCCTGAGGTATTATTTTTCCCCTTTAAGCACATTCTGTATTTATTGAGGTTTTTATATCTTATGTACTCTTACCATTTCTTACACTAGGGAAACTATACAGTATTTACACATGTGAGTTTAATTTATTTCACTTATGAGTATGGTCTCAAGCTGTGTCCATTTATTTATAAATATCTCAATGTGATCATTCTTTGTAGCAGAATAGTACTCCATTGTATAAAAATACCACATCTTTTTTATCCATTCCACAGTCGAAGAGCATTTAGGTTGTTTCCTAGATCTGGCTATTATAAATTGTGCTGCTGTAAACATGAGTGCACATATATCACTGTGGTATAATGTTTTCAGCTCTAGGAATATGCCCAGAAGTGGAATAGCTGGGTGAAATGGGACTTCCAATCCCAGCTTTATGAAGAACCTCCACACTGACCTCCAGTGCTTGTCCACATTTCCACTACAGTGCAGAAGAGTTCTTCCCCACAGCCTCTCTAGCATTTTGTTGGTAGTTTTCTTTTTCCTAGCCGCTCTTTCTGGAGTTAGATGGAAGCTCAGTGTGGCTTTAATTTGCATTTCTCTAGTGACCAATGATGCTGAGTGTTTTTTCATATATTTATTTGCCATTTGTATTTCTTCATCTGAGAACTGTGTATTCATCTCAGATGCCCATTTTTGGAATGGATCTTTGCATTTCAGGGATCTGATTTTTTTTTCAATTCTTTATATGTTCTAGACAAAAGTCCTTTGAGGGACAGTTCACTAAGATTTTTTACCCAATTCGTGGGTTTTCTTTTCATTATGCTGGAGATTTCTTTCAACATGCAAAAACTCTTTAATAAAGACATGATGCCAGTTATCGATTCTGTGAAGCATTTCACATATGGTTTGATTCTTGTTTGTGAATTCTCTACCTACCCCTATGTCTTCAAGATTTCTACATACTTTGTCTTCCAACAGATTTAGTATTTCTCTTTTAATATTTAGATCTTTGATCCATTTAGACTATGGTGATAGGCATGGGTCTAGTTTTAGTTTTCAGCATATGGAGAGCCAATTTTTCCAGCACCATCTATTAAAAGAGACTATCTTTCTTCCAGTGAACATGTTTAGCCCCTTTATCAAAGATAAGTTGGTTGAGTGTGTTTGTAATTGTATCTTCTGATCTTTTATTCCTTTGATATTCAGGTCTGTTTTTATTCTAGTACCATGCTGGTTTTATTACAGTGGCTTTGTAGTATAACTTCAAGTCAGGGATTGTGATGTCTCCTTCCTTGACTTTGTTGCTTATAATTGCCTTTGCTATTCTACATATCTTCTGGTCCCGATGAATTTTAGGAGTGATTTCTCTAGATCTGTGAGGTATGCTGCTGGTATTTTGATTGGAATTGCATTAAATCTGTATAACAATTTTGGGAGAATGGCCATTTTCACAATGTTTGTTCTTTCTATCCATGAACAATGGATGTTTTTCTACCTTCTTAGGTCTTCAATTATTTTTCAGGGTATTATAATTTTCCCTATATAAATCTTTTACTTTTGTTAGATTGATTCTTAAGTATTTCAGTTTTTTGGATGCTATTGTGAAGGATGTGGTTTCTCTTATTTCTCTCAGTGATTTTGTTGTTAGTGTATAGGAATGCTGTTGATTTTTGAGTGTTGACTTTATATCTAACTACATTACTGAACTTATTTAATTACCTAGGAGTCTTTCAATGGAGTTTTGGGGGTCTTCTATGTAGAATATCATGTCATGTGCAAATAATGATAATTTAACTTCCTCTTTTCCTATCCTTACTCCTTTTATTTCTCTCTCGTGTAATTGCTCTGGCTAGTATTTCCAGCACTGTATTGAATAGGAGTGGTGATAATGGACATCTATGTCTTGTTCCTGATTTAGGATAAAGGCTTTCAGATTTTGGCCATTTAATGTGATGCTGGCTGTTGTTTTGTCATAGATGGCTTTTATCATATTGAGGTAAAGACCCATCTATTCCAATTTTCTGTAAGGTTCTTATCATGAATAAGTGTTGGATCTTATCAAAAGCTTTTTCTACATCTATAGGAATGATCATGTGATTCTTATTTTTGGCTCTATTGATATGGTAGATTACACAGATTGATTTGTGTATGTTGAACCCTCCCTGTATTCCTGGGATGAATCCCACTTGGTCATGGTGTATAATCTTCTTGATAATTTACTGCATTCTGTTTGCCAATATTTTATTGAAAATTTTTGCATCTACATTCATTAGGGAGATTGGCCTGTGGTTCTCTTTTTTGGTTGGGTCTTTCATATGTTTTGGTATTAGAGTAATATTTGCTTCCAGGAATGAGTTAAGGAGAATGGCTTCCTTTTCAATTTCTTTGAAGAATTTGAGGAGAGTCGGCATTAAATCTTTGAATTTCTTGTAGATTTCCACAGTGAATCCATCTGGACCTGGGGTTTTCTTTGTTGGTAAAAAAAAAAAATTTTTTTTTGTAAGAATTTAATTACATTTTCAAATTCATAATTGAAATTGGGTTACAAAAGAGAGGAAAAGAAAGTGCTCCAAACTATATAACTGCATGTATATTTAAGTGTATAAGATAGAAAATGATATCACAGAGTTTTATTGGATCAATGAACAGAACTGTTTGCAGTATCATTGATGGAATGTCCACTTTACAAGCTTTAATTTTGTGACTTGAACAATTATTTCTAAGATGACAATATGTAATCCATTAACTAGTGATTTCCTACTGTTCATTTTTTTTCTGTAAATCTGTATAACTTGTACCCTTTCCCTGCTTTTTTTTTCTTTTCTCCTTAAATAAAATTAAAAAAAAAAAATTGGGTTATTCAGCAGTTTTACATCTTCTTAACCCAGCTTTGGTACTTCATATGTTTCTAGGAATCTGTCCATTTCTTCTGTGTTATCAAGCCTCTGAGAATAGAGGTTTTTGTGATAAGTATTGATGATCTTCTGAATTTTTACAGGGTCTGTAGTGATTTCACCCTTTTCATTCTTTATTGCATGAATTTGAGGGGTTTTTTTCCTTTTTAAAATAAAGTTGGCTAGGGGTTTATCAATTTTATTTATTCTTTCAAAGAACCAACTTCTTGATTTATTGATTCTTTGTATTGTTTTCTTAGTCTCTGTTGTGTTGGTTTCTTCTCTGATGTCTATAATTTCCTTCCTTCTTTTGGCTTTTGGGCTTGACTTGCTCTTCTTTTTATAGATGTTTGAGGTGTTGCAGCAGGTTATTTATTTGTGTTCGTGCTATTTTCCTGATGTGGGCATTCACCGCAATAAATTTTCCTCTGTGGATTGCGGTAAGATATATTTGTATTTTTGTTTGCTTGTAGATATTGTTTAATTTCCTCTGTGACTCACTGATTGTCCAGGAGTGTATTATTCAATTTCCATGTATTTGTGGGGTTTTGGAGTTTGTTTTGTCATTAATTTCTAGTTTTATGGTGCTATGATCCGATAGCATGCTTGGGGATAATTCAGCTCTTTTGCATTTACTTAAGCATGTTCTGTGGGCTAATATATGGTCTGTTTTAGAAAACGTTCCATGTGCAGCTGAAAAGAATGTATATTCTGATGTTGTTGGGTGGAAACTCTGTATACATCTACTAAGTCCATTTGTTCACAAGTGTGATTCAGTTCTGTTATTTCTGTGCTGATTTTCTGTCTAGTTGATCTGTCCCTTTGTGTCAGTGGTGTGTTAAGGTCTTCTGTTATAACTGTGTTATTGCTTATTTGATCTTTCACTTCTGTTAATATTTGTTTTGTACTGCTGGGTGCTCCCGAGTTTAGTGCATATATATTGAAGATTGTTATCTCTTTCTCTTGAAGTTTTCCCCTAACTAGTATGTAGTGACCATCTTTATCTCTTTGGATCATGCTTGCAGACATCTTCTACAAATAGAATAGCTACCCTTGCTTTTTGGGGGGACTCTGTTGCAGGGAGTATTGTTTTCCATCCTTTGACTTTCAGTCTATGAGTTTCCTTTGGGTTAGATGGGTTTCTTGTGTACAATATATAGTTGGATGTTATTTCTTGATCCATTCTGCCAGTCTGTTTCTCTTAATTGGTGAATGGAGGCCATTTATACTGTGGTTATAACTAATACATATTGGTTTTTTTTTTTTTAATTGGTACAGGAGATCTAACTCACAACCACCTTCTTGCAAGGCACATGCGTATGCCGCTGAGCTAAATCCCCAGTCCTTTGGTTTGCTTTTGATGTGTTACCTTTCTGCTGTTCTTTACCTTTCCTCTCTGTTTGTCTGCCTTACTTAGTGGTTTTTTTTTCCTATGTCTATCTAGAATGTCTTTCTTAGCAAGGTTGGTTTGGTGGTCATGAAGTTCTTCAGCTGTTCCTTGTTATGGAAGTACCTTATTTCTCCATCCATTTTGAAGGACAGTTTTGCAGGGTACATCAGTCTGGGTTGGAAGTCATTTTCCTTTAGAATCTGAAATACTTCACTTCATGCTCTTCTTGACTTCATTGTTTGTGTTGAGAAGTCTGCTGTGATTCTGATAGGCTTTCCTTTATAGGTGATCTGTCTCTTCTCTCTAGCAGCTTTTAATATTCTGTTCTTATGTTGGATTTCTGGAATGCTGATTATCATATGTCTGGGTGTAGTTTATTTTGGTTATGGTTATTTGGAGTTCTATATGCTTCACTGATGTATAGTCAGTTTCCATTCTCATGTTTGAGAAATTTTCAGCTATTACTTCTGTAAATAGCCTCTTGATATCATTTGTGTTATCACCTTTTTCATTTATACCTACCAATCTTCTGCATCATCTTGCAGCTGTTGAATTGTTATTTCCTGATTCCTTGTTATTTTTAAAAGCTCTTTCCTTTCCTGATCACTAGCTACAATCTTGTCTTCGAGGTCTGAAATTCTGTCTTCACTTACATTGAGGTGTTTTTCTATGGAATTTTTGATTTCCTGTACATCTTTGAATCTGCTTCATGCATTCTGTTTGTTTCTTATATTGTTCATTCAAGGTTTCCTTGTTTTGGCATTGTTCCTCTGATTTTTTAACTGTCGTCTTTAGATGTGTTCAGCATTTCTTTCATTACATTTATCATTGCTTCTTTTACTTGGGAGATTTTTTTTTTTAAATCGGTACCAGGGATCAAACTCACAACTGCCAACTTACAAGGCAGGCACTTATGTCGCTAAGCTAAATCCCCAGCTCCCTCCCTTTTTTTTGGAGGGGGGAGATTATTTGTGATCTGAGTTCTTTTATAGCTTCCTGGAGTTGTTTCTTTTTTCTTTTTTTTTTTTCCTTTTTTTTTTTTTTTTAATGGGTACCGGGGATCGAACTCACAACTGCCTGCTTGCAAGGCAGGCGCTTATGCCACTGAGCTAAATCCCCAGCCCCTGTTTCTTTACTTTAGTTGTTATCATTTCAGAAATTTTAGGTGTATGGCTTACATTATCTTCTGTGTGCATGCCTCCTAGGCTTGCTTGGGTTGGGCTAGACGTTTGAAACTGTATTTTGCTCTTTTGTTTTGTCATCTTCCTATATATCTATATTTTGTCATTTCCCATATTTCTGGTTTTGAGTGATGTTCCAAAGCTTTGTGCGCTGGGAATCACCTGGGCAGACTGCACTTTTGGCTCCCTGAGCAGACTGCAGGCAACTGCTAGCTGCTTGGAGGTCACTGGGCATGGCCCAGGTAGGCCTGTGGGGACCTCCCCTGAGTCCTCCGGTGGTTTGGGACACTGGGCGTGGTCTTAACGAGGTGGGAGACATGTTCCAAAGCTTTCCCATGCGCTGGGATTCAACTCACACACGTTGTTGCTTTTTGAGACAGGTGTGCCATGTAGCACAAGCTGCCCTTGAATTCACTGTGTAGCCCAAGCTACACACAGCAGTCCTCCTGCCCCAGCCTCCTGAATGCTGGGATTACAGGCATGCCCCCGCTATTCCCAGCAGCACTATTTCTCTTAATGTAAAATACACGTGTATACCTCAGCATAGGGCAAAATGTGATATACAAACACCAAAATATTAGTAGAGATTTTTCTATGTGAATGGATTTTAGATGATTTCATTAAAATTTTTCTGATTCTCATGCAGCAGCATACCTTATGTATATAGTTTGTATTTAATGGAGTTGGAGGAAGCTTTGCATGTAATTAAAGAATCTGGTCAGGGACTAGTGAGCAAATGCTCTCACGATTTTTGCACACATAATTGCATTGAAAAAAGCTGGCTTTTTTTTCTAGACTCATAAAAATACTTGCTGAAATAAGGATGATTAGTATATTTGGTCCTGAATAAGCATGTGCCATCATGCTGAAAGGAGAGCTAGTAAGCCTTTGGGTATTATTCTGTCCAAAGTAGGGGTCAAACCCTTTTTCTGATTAACATCATCTTACTTCTTTCACTTGCAATTCTGAAAGGCCAGTTTGCATCATCAATTTTAATGCTTGGTTTCCTTTTCTTTTCTATTTAGCTTCTAAGAAACCTGGAATATGCTCTAAATAAGGTACAGCCTTCATATATTTAGCTAATGGTTTTTAGTGTTTCTGCTTAATATTTTTAGCATATATAGAACATACAGACTGAAGCCTTTGATTGTAGATTTTGGAATACGTCTTTTAACTTTAGTTTATTGGATAAAGATGAAAACTTTTTATTAAAATGCTGAATGCACAGGATTGGGATGATGAATGCTATTTATGTTGAGTGAGGCAATTTATATGTTGGTGTCATTTTTCTTAGGTGATAACTTCCTTTTTGATTGGTGACTGAGAACTGGAAACAAGATGCAGCTTGCTGGTGGCAGTGCTCAGCAGTGAAGATCTGCTCATGTGCAGTTGTCTCGTCCCCAGGAATCAGAAGACATGTGTTGTAGTCCCGGTTCTGCTACTTCTCAGTTTACTTGACTTTCCTTGAGTCTGTGTCCTCATCAGTAAAAATGAGGTGGGTTTGACATTAAGCCCTTCTGTGTACCTCATAGGATTGTTTTGAAATGAAATAGAATAAAGGTTAGGAAAAACGTTTAATAGGCTGAAAAAGTACTATCTTATTACCGTATATTTACTTCACAGATAGTGCTGATATATCCAAAATTTAGTGTGGAGCACCAAAAATAGTATGTGCAAGACAGGTGTGGGTGGTGCATGCTTATGATCCCAGAACTTGGGAGGCTGAGGTAGGAAAATCACCATGAGTTAGAGACCAGTCTGAGCTATATAGCGAGACCCTTGTCTCAAACAAAAAACAAAACATTTAATTAGGCCTTTGTTCAAATTCCACTTACTGAGTGTCTAGTTTTAAGTTTATGCCTCAATTTAGTAATCGGTATAATGATTTTTGAGAGGATGTGTTGGCTTTTGCATAAAGTAATATTAAATGAAATGAAATAGAATATATTCATGTCACAGAGCTGCTTCTTCAGCCAGTATCTCCAAATCTTGCCATACTCCTTCTACAAGTCAGTTGAAGTCACATGGTCAAGTACAGTCATAGCAATAACCCCACTCTTGGTACCAAAATCTGTTTTTGTGACCTTTCTCATTGCTGAGACAAAATATCCAGCACCCAAATTTAAAGGAGGAAGTACTTATTTCGGCTCACAGTATGTAGAGGTTTTAGTCCATAATCAAGTGGCTCCAAGGCAGGATGGCATGGCAAAGGGGCATCACAACGGAGAAACAGTGCATGCCAGGCAGAAGGCAACAAAACCCACTGATGACCACCACCCTCTTTCTGTCCCTTGTTCTGTCCAGGCTGCATGCCCTTAGGACAGATAGCATCCATAGGAAGGCCTTAACCCTTCCTATTATCCACACTCAAAACTGTGCCAGACCAGTCAGAGGACTAATTTAGTAATCACACACCCTTAACCCAGCATCACACACACAAGATTCAGCCACTTTTAAAAAGTCCTGCCTATGAGCTTCAAAGGGACATCTAAACATAAACCATGACAACTTGAAAGGCCTCAGTGCGAAGTCTGTGATTCAGGGTTCATTTACATAGTTCACTTTCTCTATGACCAAATACATTAATGCAGATTTGTTTTAGATTAATGCAGATTTATATTGCTGTTTCAGTGTAGCTATAGCTTTAGAAACTAAATTCATTTCAAAGAAATGGGAAAATGTTATGCATACTCACATATTTATCAATATAAATTTTTACAAGAAAAAATATAAGATTTTTAGTATTTAGTAAAATACTAAAAAGGAATTGTTTGTATCTTTCCAACTGATTAAAGATCTGAATCCTTTGTATTTTTGGCTATCAGAAATAAGTCACATTTATGCTTACGTGACATCTGTTTATGTTTACTTTCAGGCACTTTTTACCATTTGTGGAAGCTTCCCTGTAATTCATTTTTTCCTTACTGCAATATTAAGAATTATATCAAGTAAGTGAGAAGTAGTAAAACTAGTTATTTTCATTTTCATTCACGGGGGCATTTAACTTTACAGTTACAATGGTTGCCACACTTGGCTTTGCCTCTGTCTTCCCCACAACTGAATGTGACTTCATAAAATTTTTTTTTTTCCTGAAAATTATGTTGTAAGAGACTATGTAATAGGGGCTGGGGATTTAGCTCAGCGGCATAAGCACCTGCCTTGCAAGCAGGCGGTCATGAGTTCGATCCCTGGTACCAATAAAAAACGAAAAAGACAAAAAAAAAAAAAGTCTTATGTAGTAGTTTGGTTTTTTTAAAAGAAGCTACAGGGCTAGTACAAATTTGTAATAGTAATACTTTTGAGAAAATTATCTATCTTTGGCTTGAAATCTATATAAGAATATCCCTAATTATAGGAAATGTGCTATAAACTTAATGACTTTTTTTTTTAAATAAATAGTTTAGGTATAGGTTTAATTGTAATCCAGCCAGGTATGATGGTGCACACCTATAATCCTCGCACTGAGGAAGCTGAGGCAGGAGGATGAATTCAAGGCCAGTCTGGGTTACATAGTGAGTTCAGGGCTAGCCTGTATTACATAGCAAGATCCTGTTGCCAAAAAAAAAGACTCATGACAACCACCATTATAATCATCCAATTGTCATAATTAATCAACATTTGAGAAAGAATTTCTCTCTTAGTAAGAAAATAATAACAATCAGTGTCCTGCCTTTAAGTTTGCTTGGGAAATAACCCAAAATGTAAATAGAGGCATTATGTAAGAATTCTCTTAAGATTTGTTATCACATGGCACATATATTTATTTCTAATAAGTACTTTGGTTAAGATAATTCTTACAACAATATTAATAGTTATTATACCACATTTGTTTTTGTTTGTTTTTTCATTTTTTAGATTGAAAAGATATGAATGAATATCCTAAAAAAAGAAAAAGGAAGACTCTACACCCTTCTCGTTATTCAGGTTAGTATATAAATCTTTTTAAAGTTGGTCTATGGATTAATTTCCATGAAATTGTATTCACATCTATTTTGTCATAAATAATTAGATAAGATTTAAATACCTGGATCATATTTTAGGGAAGAGAACGCTTTAAATTCTCATATATTCCTCCTCTTCTGTGCTCTGGGGACCCATTAGCACTTTATATTATTTAATCTTTACAACTCCATGAGTTACAGATACTTTAAATTGGATCTATACACTTACTTATGTAGCGTAATTGGGCTTTGCCTCTCTCTACCCAAACATTGACAATGATAATGTCATTGGAAAAAAATGTACATGGTTTAGGAGACAGAACTTTATCCTGTACATTGTTTTGGATATGTAAACTTTGATTTTGATTGTGTAATTTCTGATTGAGGTTGCTGTGCTCATTAGTACTGTAAGGACGCGGGTCTTTAGCCAGGGATGATAGTGCACTCCTGTAATACCAGCTATTTAGGAGGTTGAGATAGGAGAATCAAAAGTCTGAGTGCCAGCCTGGGCAGCTTAGTCAGACTCCTGTAAAAGAGAGCAAAGCAAGGAGTATAACTCAGTGGCAGAGCACTTGCCTACTGTGTGTGATACCCTGGGTTCAAAACAAAGGGGAAAGAGAAAAAGAGAGAGAGGCCTCTGTGTCAGGCCTAACTTCCTCAGACATGGAGATGTGTGCATGCAGTGCACTAGCAGTTAACACACCCATACGCATTTTTCGTATCTCAGGACATTAGCCCTGACCCACCACTCACTGATGCTTACCAGGCAAGACCGGAAACGGCTATGCAGAAGCTTTCATTGGTCCTCAGACCATGTTCCCTAAGTATTATGCTTGCTTAGCGCTGTGTGGGTTAGCGCTTTTGTGTTAACTCACTATTTTGTGATGTCAACACTGCATTTATTACACATTTGAATTTAGCAGAATTCTGATTATAAACCAACTGTTTCAAAATTATTACATTTTAGTTTATAATTTGTAGTTCTTTTAACGCTAAATGTTAAAAAAGAAAACTAAATGACAGTATCAGATCAGAAAAATCTTTAAACACTAAAGAAAACGTATTTGCATTTTCTATAGTATATTTAAAATCACGAAAATTTGAACTGGCACTGTGGCACAGCAGTAGAGAGTGTGTAAAGCCTTGGGTTTGATCCCTAGCACCACAAAAGAAAAAGATCGATAAAATTTAAATAAAAATATGTCAGTAGATGTATGTGTTTACTATGAACTTTTTTCATTTTCTGTTCAGATTCCTCTGGAATAAACAGAATTGCAGATGGATTCAATGGAATTTTTTCTGATCATTGTTACAGTGTCTGTTCTATGAGGCAGCCAGACTTAAAATATTTCGATAATAAAGGTATATTTAATATTTCCCAACATATTTTGTTTAAATTCCTTTTATAGGGGAGGGAGGGATGGGGAAGGGAAGGGAAACTAAAAAGAATTAAGATGTGTTACGTACATGTGCCAACTCTCCATGCTGAATGTGATCATTTTGTAAGTGCAAACATGTACTAATAAAAAACTTTTTAACTAAAACAACAAACAAATTGTGTTTATTGGGATATAGCTTTATGGTGAGTGATTCATTTTTACTTTTATTAGTATATGTTTGCTGTATATGTGGCTACAGCAGAGTACTCACCTAGCATGTGCAAGGTTCTGGGTTTGATTCACAGCACCACAAAAGAAAAAAGGGCTTTTTACATATTTTCATTTTTTTTTTCCTTATATGAAAAAGTAGGTGAAATGTGGATTGATGATTTCAAAGCAGGCAAGTATTTGAATTTAAGAAACAAATATTGCAATTTTTATTTTTAACATTGTTTCAGGCATGTAAATACAAAACATGCTCTCTTAAATCCTTTTTAGCTGGCTGAGAATTGGTGGCAAAGCTGGAATAACCCAGAGTTAAGAGCGTTTAAGGTGAAGGATTAAGAGTATTGTCCATGGGCTGGGGATTTAGCTCAGCAGCATAAACGCCTGCCTGGCAAGCGCAAGATTGTGAGTTCGATCCCTGTAACAGAAAAAAGAAAAAAAAAAAGAATATTGTCCACAGTTCTACTCTGCTGTACCTTTCAAGCTGGAGGACTAGTTGAAAGAACAGAGGATGCTTTGGTCTTTTTCAGTCTTGAGTTTGCTACTGTCTTCTGTTTTCTGGAGCATGGAGTAGATAACTAGTACTTCGTTCTCTAGAACACTGACGCTCATTTCTTTGGACAGAAAAACACAATGTATGAAAAATATGAGTCAGAAACATCAGTATGGAAAAAAAGTTAGTATGGACTCATGCTTAGTTTAATTACAGATTTAGATGGTAAAATAGTAATACCAGGCATGGTGGCATATACCTGTAATTCCAGCAATCAGGAGGCTGAGGCAAGAGGATATCTGCAGGTTCAAGTCTGGGCTAAATAGTGAGTTCAAAGCTGGCTGAACTATATAGCAAGATCCTGTCTCAAACAAAACATACCGAAATGTATATAGGTACGTGCATATATCTATGGTAGTATACACATACATTTTTTGTTCTGTTACCTGAGAGAGCCTAAAAAAAAGTGACACTCTAATAGCAGTGAAAACATTAAGTATCCAGATCTTGATTTCTAATAACATTCCTAACCAAAATGTGGTGCACACCTAAAGTCCCAGCACTAACTATAAGGATGAGGCAAAAAGATTGCTTCAAGTTTGAGCCCAGACTACGCAGCAAGACCTTGTCTCAAAGAAACATTTCCTGGAGAAATGGCTGATCTGCTTCTAGAGTAGACACAGATACATTAGATCAGCCTAGAGCATTTTGTAGTGCTGGAAAACAGGGAATTACTTTTTTTTAACAACTCTAAAAGTAAAGTGTACACATACGTGCATCTAGTGCTGTGCTAAAGGAGCATAACAGCCTAAGCTGAAATAACTTGATAAAACATTGAGTTGTATGGGGCTGGGGATTTAGCTCATCTACATAAGCACCTGCCTTGCAAGCAGGCAGTCGTGAGTTCAATCCCTGGTACTGATAAAAAGGAAAAAGACAAAAAATAAATAAATTTTAAAAAAATTGAGTTGTAGCCTAAAGAACAAATGAAATACCCACAAATAATCCATACTGATAAACTGGATACATGAGTAGGAAAAATAAGACAAATCTCCTGTAGGGAAGAATTCCAAAATTGTTGTGTGTTCTTCCCTGAGGGAGGTGGTATGCAACTCCACTCCTTACTTGTGGACTGCACATGCTAATTTCCCTCCACAGAGCAGAATATGGAAGTAAAAGAGTAACTGTACAACAAGAAACCTAAGTCAAGCGACCAAGGTCAACATCGACACTTACAATTCATGTTGATAGTAGGTAACTGCAAGATGGAATGGAAGTGCCAATTCACCTTTGGAGTCTACCTCCAAGGAACGCCTAATTCCCACCTACTCGTGAAAAATATAGATACATTGCATTACTAGAACAATCTATAAAATACCTGACCACTAGTCCTCAAAATGGTCAGAGTCACTAGTAGTGTAAAAATACATGACAACTAAAGTAATGTGAGATCTTGGGGCAGAATAAGGATGTTAGGTAAAAACTTAAGGTATTTGGTTAAATGTGGGCTTTAGTTAGTAATGATGTATCATTATCAGTAGTAATACGTCATTTATTAATTACAATAAATGTACCATCCTAGTAAAAGATGTTAATGGTAGGGCATATGGGAACTCTATTATCTCGGTGATTCCATAAATGTAAAAGTGTGGCACAAAATGAAGTAATTTTTTAAAAGTTAAAGCCCATTTTTCTCTATTGACCTATATTTCAGTTTTTCATGCTAACTTCAGGGCTGGGAAGAAGGGAGGCTGGACTGAGACAATAAAAGCTTATCTAAACTGAGAGTTAAAATACTAAATTTGGAGCTAGTGATAAAGCTCAGCAGCACAGCACCTGCCTGACAAGTATGAGATCATGAGTTTGATTCCCAGGACCAAAAAAAAAATTAAATTTATAAATTATACTTTAGCTGGGCATGGTGCTGCACTCCTATAATCCCAGCATGCAGGAGGTTGAGGCAGGAGGGTCTTTGCAAGTTTGAGACCAGCCTAGGCTACAAAATGAGCCCAAGACTAGCCTGAGCTACATAATGAGACCTGGTCTCAAAAATAAAAAATTTTTAAAAGAATAATAATAAAAGGATATTGTAGTTCAAGTGGGGAATAAAGGCAAAAGTAATTGCTTATTTGGGCAGAATTAATTTTTTTAAAATATTCCTCTATAATGCTTAATGCTTTGCCATAAGTAATAAATATTTTTTCAAATCCCTTTTTACAGATGATGATTCGGATACTGAGATATCAAATGACCTCCCAAAATTTGCAGAAGGAATCAAGGCCAGAAACAGAAATCATAACTACCTGGTTCCCAGTCCTGTCCTTAGAATTCTAGAGCACACTGCTTTTTCTTCAGGTTAGAATTAATAAATAGCATTGGCATATTTTGTATAGATCAGTGGAACAATGGAGCATGTCATAAACTTGTTTGTACAGTTGTATTTAACTCATAGGCTTTATTTAGTGACAGTAGTACAATGATAGGTTTGTTCTGTGTTTCAGAAAAATCTGCTGATGTTGAAATTTGTGATGAAGAGTGTGACTCACCTGAGTCAGTCAACCAGCAGGCTCATGAGGAGAGTCCTGTGGAAGTCCACGCCGCTGAAGATGTCCCAATTGCTGTGGAAGTGCATGCAATTTCAGAGGACTATGACATAGAGACGGAGAACAACTCCTCAGAAAGCCTCCGAGACCAAGCTGAGGAAGAGCCACCCTCCAAACTTTGTAAAATTCTTGACAAAAGCCAAGCTTTGAATGTGACTGCCCAGCAGAAATGGCCTTTGCTGAGAGCTAATAGCAGCGGCCTCTATAAATGCGAACTTTGTGAATTCAACAGTAAATATTTTTCTGATTTAAAGCAGCATATGATCCTAAAGCATAAACGTACTGATTCAAATGTGTGCCGGGTATGCAAGGAAAGTTTCTCCACCAACATGCTTCTGATTGAACACGCCAAACTACATGAAGAGGACCCCTACATTTGTAAATACTGTGACTATAAGACAGTGATTTTTGAGAACCTCAGCCAGCACATTGCAGACACCCACTTCAGTGATCACCTCTACTGGTGTGAGCAGTGTGATGTGCAGTTCTCCTCAAGCAGTGAGCTCTACCTGCATTTCCAGGAGCACAGCTGTGATGAACAGTACTTGTGTCAGTTCTGTGAACACGAAACTAACGATCCAGAAGACTTGCACAGCCACGTGGTAAACGAGCATGCATGTAAATTAATAGAATTAAGTGATAAGTATAACAATGGAGAACATGGACAGTACAGCCTCTTAAGCAAAATTACCTTTGACAAATGTAAAAACTTCTTTGTGTGTCAAGTGTGTGGTTTTCGGAGTAGACTTCATACAAATGTTAACAGGCATGTTGCTATTGAACACACTAAAATATTTCCTCATGTTTGTGACGACTGTGGGAAAGGCTTTTCAAGTATGCTAGAGTACTGCAAGCATTTAAATTCACATTTATCTGAAGGGATTTATTTATGTCAGTATTGTGAATATTCAACAGGACAGATTGAAGATCTTAAAATTCATTTGGATTTCAAGCATTCAGCTGACTTGCCTCATAAATGTAGTGACTGCTTGATGAGGTTTGGAAATGAAAGGGAATTAATAAGCCACCTTCCAGTCCATGAGACAACTTGATTATTTTCTTTATTTTTACTGACATTATGTAAAACAATAAATTCAACTTTTTGAAAATGTTAAAATGGATAATTTTAGACACAACGTACAAGATTTGCATTTAACAAATAGTTTTTATTGTCCATTTTTCTTGGCATTGCTACATTTTGCAGTATGTAATTATACCTTCATTGTAGTATTTTCAACAACTGCATGGTAGTTCATAGTTTTAATTACTTCTAATGACTATCATCCAGTTTATTGCCTGTACTCCAGTTTCATGAATTGCAAAGAAACAGATGTATTAAAGAAACTAATTAAATTTTTTCTTAACCATAAGCTACTATTAACTTTTTAATATTAACACAAGCTAAGTTTCTAAAATTCATTCATATTTCCACTAATATGAAATAGCCCTCCTTTTGGATTCCCAGTCAGGAATTACCTACTAAGCAATCAAAAATTTTGTGTCTGTGATTCTTTTAATAATACAAAACTATGAAGACAAGAATGTAAAAGGAAGAGAAGGTGCCGTTTTGGGGGCAGTTTTTTTCTTTCTTTCTTTTTTTTTTTTTTTTTTTTTGTTAAATCCTCATCTGTGTGTTGAATAACTTAAGGGAAGGAGGAGGGACTTGGCAGGAATTAGACAATAAGAAAGGTATCCATTTCACAACTCATTCATCACCCAGTAATGGTTCATCTTCAGTATGGAACCATGAAGCTTATCCAAACTTCTGACATCAGATTGTTTATGGATTGAGAAAACCTGTGAAAGTGTGAACACAAAGTGAGGACTGGGGAGATGAGAGGTTTTAGACATGATAATGTCTAAATTACTTCTGCTAATGATAAGTTAGTCTTAACATCTGTATACATTTCCTGTGGCTGCTGTAACAAATTCCTGCAAACTGGGAACCTAGCAAAACTGTACATGCTCGTTTCCAAAGGCCAGAAGTTCAAAGCCATAGTACTGGCAGAGTTGGTTCCTTTCTGAGGGCTGTGAGGGATGTATCTGGCCCAGACCTTTCCCATTAGCTTGTAGTGTCTTTGGCATTCTCCCAGCACATGAAGTTGATCTCAAAATTTCCTCTTTTTGTAACAGTGTCAGACATACTAGGGCCTAGTTTGTCAACTTCATTCTAACTTGATAAAGATCCTGTCACCAAATAAGTCCATATTCTTTGGTACTTCAGTAAATGAAAAGCTGGATGTGGTGGCACATACTTGTAATTCCAGCACTGTAGGCCTATCACCACAAATTCAGGCCCAGCCTGGGCTACATGGTGATATCCTGTCTCAAAAAAAAAAAAAAGAAAAGAAAAGCTGGGTGTGGTGGCTCACGCCTGTAATCCCAGCATTCAGGAGCTGAGGCAGGAGGATCGATGGGAGTTCGAGACCAGCCTGGGCTACAGAGTGAGCCCAAGACCAGCCTGAACTGCACAGGAGACCGACCCTGTCTCAAAAAGACAAAAAAAAAAAAAGTTTTTAAGAGGAACATAACTCAATACATAGATTCTGCAGGAGTAGTACCAGGAAGACAAATTACGCTGTGCATCTTGATATACATCTGTAATCCCAACGCTCAGGGATTGCTGCCATTTGAAGGCCAGCCTGAACTGCATGGTGAGACCCTGTTTCCAAAAAAAGAAAGACAGTTATATATGTTTTTGCCCTCAAATTTAACAAGTATTACTACTGCTAACAGACAGTTATTGCCTGGTTATATTGATTGAGAAAACCAACTTACGAGCCGATGAACCATAGGAATTGGAGAATGGTGACTGCAGAAGTTCTCAAAACCTATTGTTTTTATTCCATTTTGCCATACATGCATCCCTAGAAACTCACATTCCATCTGATTACCATTCCTGGTAGGCCTATCTGGATACAAGTGCTTCTCAGAAGATTTAAAATTTTAGTTGAGTGGCAAGTTAAAGCCCAACCTGGATAATTTAGTACAAACCTGTCTCAGTGTTAAAAATGAAAAAGAGGCTGAGGGAGAATCCTAGAAATGTTCTGGCCTAAACCAGGTGAGGTGGCACACACCTCTAATCTCAGCAGGTAGGGTGGCTTGAGGCAGGGGGGTCGCAAGTTTGAGCCCAACCTTAGCAACCTAGCAAGACTGTGTTCAAAAAAAAATAATAAAGAGCTGGAGATGCGATTCAGTGCAGAGACCCTGGGTTCAAGCTCAGTACTGAAAAACAAAAAGTAAAAACTATCTTTTCTAAACCTTACAGTTTTCTGATTTCTTATGACATGAAAACAGGTGGTTAGAAGACCAAGGGCGCATAACCAGTTGCAGTGTCCAAGAATAGAAACAGCCTAGTGGTGATTTCTTTACACCAGGATGCATAAATCTAACCTTTGAATCTATGGTGTTTTTTTGTTTGTTGGTACCGGGATCCAACTCATGACCTTGCACTTGCCAGACAGGCATTTGTGCTGCTGAGCTAAACCTCAGCCCTCTTGTGTTTTTCATGACTATCCTGGCAATTTACCTGCCTTGATAATTCTGTTTTTTAAATTTTTTTATGTACTTCTAGGTCTAGGAATTTGATTTTTGAGAAGCAAACCTTGAGTGATGCATTGGTTTAAAAAAAAATGTATTTTACTGCTTCACATTTTATCAGGTATTAGTAATCAAAGATTGTAATGAAGCTACTTAAAAGACAGAAATTTAAGTTTTAAAACTATATAATTTTGTACTTTTTGATGAATTTGCAGCAGGAGGCCTTATCTCACTGAGTTTGTGTAATAAAAACCTTACTGTGATTCAATTTTTTTTTTTTTTTTGCGGTCTTTTTGTTTTGTTTTGGGGGATTTTTTGGGTTTTGAGACCGTCTCACTGTGTAGTTCACACTGGCATTAAACTCACTATTTAGTTGAGGTGGGCCTCAAACTCAGTGATCCTCCTGTCTTAGGCTCTCGAGTGCTGAAATTCCAGGCATGTACCACGATTCTCAGTACAGTTTTCAAATAAGCTGTAATGACCATAAATCTCAAGTCTGTATTTTTAACTTACTGAGCTTCTGGGAAAAACAAATCTACTTAAATTTCTTTTTTCTAACTACTTCTGCATGATTTTTTTTCCCTGCAGAGATAGATATATCCTGTGTACTCTTTGTGACTTGAACCAGAATTGACACTTGAGAATCTATAACTGAAGGCGATTTATTAACAGTCACAGTGTTCTTGGCAGCAGGGATGAGTTGTTTTGTTAATCATCACATTACAATGAGCTAGTAGTTTTGAGTTTCAAAAGCATTTCCCCAAACCCCAGAACATGAAAATGTGTGCTTATAAATATGCCGGTTTTACCATTTTAAATAATTTTTCTTAGATTCTCTGAAAGTGAAAGCAAAAGTGTGTGATCACATGTTAGCCAATTTCTCTGTTTCACAGGGCATATAGTGTACTGTTAGTTGGCTTCTGAATTATTGCGGGTAAAGGCTTTTTAAAAATACTGTTTCAGGGTCGGGGGATTTAGCTTAGCAACATAAGCACCTGCCTTGCAAGCACGTGGTTTTGAGTTCGATCCCTCCTACCAAAAAAAAAAAAAAAAGTGTTTCAAAGCTGGGCGTGGTCGTGCACACCTGTAATCCCAGCATACCTCCAGAGGTTGAGGCAAGAAGATCACTAAATTCAAGGCCTGCCTGAACTACATAGCAAGATCCTATCTAAAAAACATTTTTTGGGGGCTGGGGATTTAGCTCAGCGGCATAAGCACCTGCCTTGCAAGCAGGCAGTTGTGAGTTCGGTCCCCGGTACCGATAAAAATGAAAAAGACCAAAAAAAAAAAAAAAAAACATTTTTTTTTTAAATCTTTTTGAGACAGGGTCTCACTATGCAGTTCAGGTTGGCCTTGAGCTCACTCTGTAATGCAGACTGCTCTCAAACTTGCAACAATCCTTCTGCCTCAGCCTCTTGAGTTCTGGGATTACCTGTCTAAATTTTTTTTCAAAATCACAACTACTTTTCATTTATATAAAACAATTTTTAAGCTTAAAATCTAAAATTTGAAGAGGCTAGCAGTTATTTTGAAATTATTCCTTACCAGTGATTTAAAAAATAATTTTTTGGATCAGAATTTTCCATATTCAACAGTCAACACAACTTCCTTATGAAATTCATTTTAGTAAATTTGCTCTTAAAACTAGCAACTACCTGAACAGAAGATAAATTTATGAAAAGTAATTTGTTCACTCTACAAAGAAATAATTGTTTTCACCTTACTGAGTCATAATACTGTATGATCTACTAATCTTAGATACGTTTAAGAAGTATGATTATTTAGAAGTCTGGGTTTTTTTGTTTGTTTTCCTCTTTGGGATAGGATATCACTATGTATTCCAGACTGGCTTTGAACAACTGTGGTAGCCAGCCTCAAACTCACTGAGATCCTCCTGCCTCAGCTCCTGAGTGCTGGAATTACAGGCATGCAATATCACATCCAATTTACAGAGTTTTTTAAAAGGAATTTCTAGGGGGCTGGGGATTTAATTCAGCGGCATGTGCCTGCCTTGCAAGCAGGCAGTCGAGAGTTCGATCCGCGGTACCGATAAAAAGGAATTTCTGCTGTAACAGCATTTTTTATTTTCTATTATTTTGTTATCACAGCTTTTAAAAACTTCATTGTTGGGGTTGGGGATTTAGCTCAGCGGTATAAGTGCCTGCCTTGCAAGCAGGCAGTTGTGAGTTCAATCCCTGGTACCGATAAAAATGAAAAAGACAAAAAAAAAAAAAAAAAAAAAAAAAAAACTTCACTGTTTTTAATAGACAAATGAATATGATCTGATAATTTTTTCCCTGCTAAAAATATTGATATCAATGAATTATTTTTATTTTATTTTATTTTTTGGTACCAGTGATCAAACTCATGACCTCACACTTATCAGGCAAATGCTTGTGCTGCTGAGCTAAATCCCCAGGCCCTAATGAATTATTTTTTAAATTTAAGAAATATTATTGCAGGGCTGGGGATTTAGCTCAGCGGCATAAGCACCTGCCTTGCAAGCAGGCAGTCGTGAGTTCGATCCCCGGTACCGATAAAAATGAAAAAGACAAAAAAAAAAAAAAAAAAAAAGAAATATTATTGCAATACTGGTTTTAAACTGTATCTCCAGACCTTATTTTTTTATTTTGAAATAGGATCGCATTAAGTAACTCAGGCTTGGGGCTGGGGATTTAGCTCAGCGGCATAAGCGCCTGCCTTGCAAGCAGGCAGTCGTGAGTTCAATCCCTGGTACCAATAAAGAGGAAAAAGACAAAAAAAAAAAAAAAGTAACTCAGGCTGAGCTCAAACTTGTGATTCTTTTGCCTCAGCTTCCTACAGTGCTGAA